TGACATCAGGCACCCCAGCCCTGGGTCCCTCCAAGGGAAGACGAGCCTCCATAACACCTAGCTTTGAAAATCAACAGGGCTTAACTCCAGGAGAGCTACAACTCTACTTTCAAAAGGCTCATGCACAAATTCACTCACTCTGAGACCCAACACAGAGGCAGGAGTTTGAAAAACTCCCGGGCCATGTATGAAGGAGATTTATTGACTAGTTTTAGGGAATGTGCCAAAGGAGCAGGAAGTTGTAAGAACCTTCTCTAGGGATAGGACTGCTGACAGGCCCCATTTTCCTTAATCTCCTTTTAACTAGCATCTACCTTGATGAGTGACATTTCTGATACTTCCCATCTACCTTGCTACCACCATTCACCCTACCCAGGTGGACCTGCCCTGCCCAATCCACCTACTCTGGCAGGCACTCCTCCAAAGTGACTCCCACCCTACCACACACCATGGATAGCTCAGCCAGGACCAGAGTCCCTCTCCAAAGATACTTCCACCCTGCCACACCCAGAGAACATCCTCCCCACCAAAGCAACTCCCACCCCTGGAAGGGGGCAGCCCTGCCTACCAATGCACCTGCAATAGTCAGGGCTGGGCTTTACAACCAACCACATCAAGGACCAGCCCCACCCACCAGTGCCCCCTCAGCATCAATAAATGAAACAGAACAATAAATAATAGAAAATAATAATGAGACTAAAAGTTAGTTCTTTGGAAAGATAAACAAAATTGATAAACCTTTAGCCAGACTCATCAAGAAAAAAAAAGAGAGAGAGAGGACCCAAATAAATAAAATCAGAAATGAAAGAGAAGAGGTTATAATCAACACCACAGAAATACAAAGGATTATAAGAAACTACTACAGGGGCCCTTGGGTGGCTCAGCTGGTTAAGCATTGGACTCTTGATTTAGGCTCAGGTCATGATCTCATGGTTCATGAGTTCAAGACCCACATTGGGCTCTGTGCTGACAGTGCAGAGCCTGCTTAGGATTCTCTATTTCTCTCTCTGCCTCTCTCTCAAAAATAAATACATAAAAATAAACACTTAAAAAAACAGGTATTATTCTGCCATAAAAAAGAATTAAATCTTGCCAATTGTGACAACATGAATGAATCTAGAAGGTATTATGCTAAATGAAATAAGTCAGACAGAGAAAGACAAATGCATATAATTTCACTTACATGTGGAATCTGAAAAACAAAACAAATGATCAAACAAAAAACCAGATTCTTAAATGCAGAGAACAAACTGGTGGTTGCCAGAGGGGAGGTGGCTGGGGGGATGGGAGGAATAGGTGAATGGGATTAAGAGGTACAAATTTCCAGTTATAAAATAAATAAGTCATGGTGATGAAAAGTACAGCATAGGGAATTATAGTCAATACTATTGTAATAATGTTATATGGGGACAGATGGTGACTACACTGATCGTGAGGAATAGTGAGTAATGTTCAGAACTGTTAAATCACTATGTTGTGTACATGAAACTAATATAGCACTGTATGTCAACTAAACTTCAATCATAAATTAAAAAGAAAAAAAAAGCATTAAAAGGATCACATATCACAATCAAGTGGGATTTATTCCAGGCATGCAAGGATGGTTCAATATCTGCAAATTATACCACATTAACAAAATTAAGGATAAAAATCATATAATCATCTTAATATATGCAGAAAAGCACTGGGCAAAATTTAACATCCATTTATGATGAAAACTCTCAACAAAGTGGGTACAGAGGGAACATACCTTAACATAATAAAGGCCATATATGACAAACCCACAGCTAACATCATACTCAATGGTGAAAAGCTGAAAGTTTTTCCTCTAAGATCAGAAAAAGACAAGGATGCCCACTTTTTACCACTTTTATTGAACATAACTCTGGAAGTCCTGGCCATAGCAATCAGACAAGAAAAAGAAATAAAAGTCATCCAAATTAGTAAGGAAGAAATAAAACTGTCACTATTTGAAGATAACATATGATACTAGAAAACCCTAAAGACTCCACCAAAAACCACCAGAACTAATAAATGAATTCAGTAAGGTTACAGGATACAAAATCAATATACAACAATCTGTTGCATTTCTATATATTAATAATGAACTAGCAGAAAATGAAACTTAAAAAATCTTATTTACAACTGCATCAAAAAGAACCAAATACAAAGGAATAAATTTAAGCAAGGAGATGAAAGACCTATACTCTGAAAATTATAAGACATTGATGAAAGAAATTGAAAATGACACAAATAAATGGAAAGCTATACCGTGCTCATGGGTTGGAAGAATTAACATTGTTAAAATGTCCATACTACTCAAAGCAATCTACAGTTTCAATGCGCTTCCTACCAAAATACCAATAGCATCTTTCACAGAACTAGAATAAATAATACCACAAATGATCCTGAATGGAATCACAAAGACCCTAAAGAACCAAAGCAATCTTGAGAAAGAAGAACAAAGCTGGAAGTATCACACTCCTTAATATCAAACTATACTATGAAGCTAAAGTAATAAAAATAGTATGGTACTGGCACAAAAACAGACACATATTTCATGTGAGAAATAAACTCACATGTATATGATCAACTAATTTACAACAAAAAAGGCAAGAATAGGCAATGGAGAAAAAACAGTCTCTTCAACAAATGGTGTTGGAAAAACTAGACAGCTATATGCAAAAGAGTAAAACTGGACCACTTCCTTCCACCATATACAAAATAAACTCAAAATGGACTAAAGACCTAAATCTAAGACCTGAAACCATAAAACTCCTAAAAGAAAATATAGGTAGTAAACTCTTGGACATTGGTCTTAGCAATATTTTTTTGGATCTGTCTCCTCAGGCAAAGGGCAACAAGCAAAAATAAACATGTAGAACTATACCAAACTAAAAAGCTTTTGCACAATGAAGGAAAGTATCAACAAAACTAAAAGGCAACCCACTGAATGGGAGAAGATATTTGTAATGATATATTCAATAAGGAGTTAATATCCAAACTATGCAAAGCACTCCTGCAACTCAACACCAAACAAAACAAAAAACAAAAACAAAACAAAACCCACAAACAGTCTAATTAAAAAATGGACAGAGAGGGGTGCCTGAGTGGCTCAGTCAGTTAAGCATTTGACTCTTGATTTTGACTCAGGTCACGATCTCACGGTTCGTGGGTTTAAGCCCTGTGTCAGGGCTCTGTGCTGACAATGCAGAGCCTCCTTGAGATTCTCTCCCTCCCTCTCTTTTTGCCCCTACCCCACTCATGTGCACTCTCTCTCTCTCTCTCTCTCAAAAGAAATAAATAAACATTTTTTTAAATGGGCAGAAAGTAAACATTTTTCCAAAGAAGACATGCAGATGGTCAACAGACACATGAAAAGATGTTCAACATCACTAATCATCAGGGAAATGCAAATCAAAACCACAGTGAGGTATCACCTCACACCCATCAGAATGGCTAGTATCTAAAAAACAAGAAATAACAAGTGTTGGTGAGGATGCGGAGAAAAGGGAATCCTCATGCACTATTGGTGGGAATGTAAACCGGTTCAGCCACTGTAGAAAACAGTATGAAAGTTCTTCAAAAAATTAAAAATAGAACTACCCTATGATCCAGTAATTACACTTCTGGGTATTTATCTGAAGAAAATTAAAACGCTAATTCAAAAAGATATATGTACCCCTATGTTTATTGCAGCATTATATACATTTACATTTATTATAGCATAGGTAATATAGTCAATAATATTACAATTACTTTGTATGATGACAGATGGTAACTAGACTTATCATGGTGATATTTCATAATGTATATAAATGTTAAATCACTATGTTGTACATCTGAAACTAATAGAATATTGTATGTCAACTATACTTCAATTACAAAATATTTGTGTATAATAACGTTACTCAAGGTCATTGTTCCTGATCATGTGCACAGCCCGCCCTCTAGTGTTTCTTTCTAAAACCTACCAAATTTTAAACCATACTCTTAATCTCAAAATATTAGGCTAATAGGATTAAGAACTGTGTCATCAAATTAAAAGAACCAGGCTAAATCCCTGACAGAGGTGAAAATTAAATCAGAGAAAACTGAAGGCCCTTTAAGAAGCGGGTGGTAACCTCACTGGAGAAAAACTGCAAAGTTAGTGGTAAATATATATTAAAAAGTTTCATTTGGTAAAATAAGGTCTTAATAGAAAGAAGAGTTAGTTCAAATGATAGGTGTAGATATGTAAAATGGGATAGTTTTGTAACTACTAGTACCAATGTTATTTTATTAAAAAGACAATCCAGATGTTGATTAAATAATGAAATTATTTCTTCCCAAAATAACAAATATACATAAAGCAGGTAAATATCTCTTTGGGAAGAGTTAAAATAATCTAACTTATTTGTATCTGGAATGTTTATAACAAAAGTATATCAAATTAAATTTAGAAGAACATTCATTATCTGAAAAGAAAAAAAATAATTGTACATTATTCATGTATCTTGATGGGTTTCATAAGACATATAAGAAAAATCTGTGAGGTTATTTTTGCTTTCGTGAAAGAATAAGTCATAAACTGCCCACGGTAAAAACTTACTTGAGCACTCAGAATTTTGGAAGAAAAAAATATCCTTCTGACATATTTTAACTAATTCTGTATTTCAGGCTGTTTCTGTTGACAAGAACATACAATGAAGTATGGATTCTATGGGGCTGTGATCCACACTATTCGATGTCTTGAAGTTCAAATACTTCAAATGATGACCTTATTTAACTGTCATAAAGAATGTAAACAAAATAGGGACTTGGGTTGTCTTTTTTTTTTTTTTTTTAATTTATATTCCAGGTCTCCTTATGTCTCAGGCATATTAGCATAACTTGTCTAAAATCATAAAGAAAAATTGACAGAAAACTGCTTGAGATCGCCATGTGTTTTCAATTGATGCTGGCAAAAACTAACCTAATGGAAGGCATTTGGTACAGGTTTATTTTTCCTTTGCAGTAACAGCAGGAACATGAAGCCATCACTCTTGGTGTTTATTGTGTATCTGCTATGGTTGGAAGGACGTCACTGCGCACCTACTTGGAAGGACAAAGCCGGTATCCATGGAAACCTGAAGGGTATGTTTGGTTTCTTTATCTGCTCTGTGTCCTGTTTGCATGTTTGCATGTGTTGCTGGCATATACAAGTGATTTACGGTTGAGAGATAACCGTATTCATTATGGCCCTCCAGTTTCACGGTAGGACGCTCTCTCAGCACTTAAACCAAGTAGACATGATGCCAAACATCTGGAATAAAAGTAGAGAATTCCAGCCGAGTATCTGAGAACGTTCACATATCCAGATGTTTGCTATCACACAGATAAAACTTGCCAACTTTCGGGCTGCATTTCTTGGTATCATCCAGATGTTTGGTGTCCTCTCGGCACGGTTTTAACGAACAGTGAAATTCTTTTCTAGCATTTGAAAAATTTAAACAATTAAAGTTATCTGTGCAGTATTCCTGAAATAGTGAAAGAATGGGTTATAGTGACATTGAATCTGGTTAGTCTATGTTCATGAACTTGTGACCTTTGCTTGACGATATATGCTTTGGGTACTGAATACTTAGAAAAATAAATTAGTTAAAATGCTGCTTTAGGAAGGTCTATGATTAAACTCAGAAACAAAAATAAGTTCCTTTGGAAGCCACACTGACTACTGCAAAGAGAGAATGACAATGAATTTTATACCCACCAAAAGCTTATTAAAGATGTAGAAAAGAGGTGTCTGGGTGGCTCAGTCGATTGAGTGTCAGACTCTTGATTTCATCTCAGGTCATGACACCAGGGTTGTGGGATTGAACCTTGCATCGGGCTCCATGCTGAGTACGGAGCCTGTTTAGAATTCTCTCTCTCTCTCTCTCTCTCTCTCTGTGCCTGGGCACCTGGCTGGTTCAGTCAGTTAAGTGTCTTGATTTTGGCTTAGGTCATGATCTCATGAGTTCGTGAGATTGAGGCCTGCATCGGGCTCTATGCTGACAGCACAGAGCCTGCTTGAGATCCTCTCTCTGCCCTTTCCCTACTTGTGCTCTTTCTCTCTCAAATTAAACAAATAAACTAAAAAAAAAAAAAAAAAAAAAAAAAGGTATTCTCTCTGTCTCTCCCTGTCTCCCTCTGCTCCTCTCTCCCTCTCTCTAAAATAAAAAAGTAAATACAATTTTTAAAAGGGTATGTAAGAGATGTCCAGCAGGTTATTAAAGAATCTTGTATTATATGAGATACTTTCTAGTTTTAATGCCTCCTGGGAAGGTAATTGAAGCTGAAAGAAAGGGCAATTGTTCGCTGTGTTTGAGGTTCCCATTTGGCATTTAATATAAATTGTCTGTGAAGAAAATCTGAATTTTTTTCTAATATAAACACACTTGAGTTTTAAGTGAACGACAAAAAAAAAATGGATAACTGGAAACAGGCCCTGAGTGAAAGGACAAGAATGAGGTTAAATGAACTCTGACTTGTCTAGGAGCTCAGACACAAGGAATAGAAGGTATCATCTACATGGCAGCTGTGTCCGTGGGGCAGCTAACAGCCAATCCATTGTGATCTGCTTCCAGAATTTGATGCTGCAAAAGAACAGCTAAGTCTCTATTTAAGGGACATAATGAAAACTGGTGAACTTATTGTATTCTGATACACTGCAATTTGATCAGCTCTCAAAAGGAAAAAACTGCAATGCTTCTTTTAGGTTTTCCTGAGGCTGGAGACATAGATGGAGATGAAGAAGTGAAGAAGGCTTTGATTGGCATGAAGCAGATGAAAATCATGATGGAAAGAAGAGAGGAGGAACATACCAATCTAATGAAAACCCTGAAGAAATGCAAAGAAGAAAAGCAGGTACAGTAATTGGGAATAACACCTGTTCTTAAATATAGCTAGACCATAAATACTGCATCTGTTAGTGCAGTTGATGACTTACTTATTTTCCCTAACAGTAGATTTTCTGGAGAGCAGCTCTTAGTGGATGAAAACTTCAAAGGCAGAGTGGGCCTGTGCAGGACTCCAAATCCAGGAATTTGAGGGATTCATCTCTGTTGGGGAAGTGTTACTTTCTTAAAAATACTTTATCTTTAGTCCATTCTGACTTCGGATATGGAGTCAAAAGTGTTCATGGAGTTTTTGGCTAGATCTGTGGTCTCCAAAGGTTTTTGAGCCCCCATCCCTATTACTAATATTATTCTTAGTGTTCACTCCTAAATGTATGCATATTAGTTTATTTGTAAATTAGAAACACGAATTGCTACCATTAATATATCAAGGCACAAAATAGATGTAGGATGAGGTTCATCACTAGCTAGGGTGGATGTTAAATCCATATTTCAAATAATCTGGAAAATATTTTGAAACTTTTTAGCTGATGGCCAGGTCTGATTAGATCATAGTTTTACTTTGTCATGTGACCAACAAAGAGCTTATAATGAAGACGTTTCAGCTCTGCCGTTTGCGTCTTGTCTACCTGAGCTTAAATTATTCATATTTTTTAATCTCATGGGTATTGTTTGGTTTTTATCAAGAATCTTTTGAAGACTCTTGCCCATTTGGTGAGGGCTAGCTTAGTTAAAACTAAATAATAAAACCATCATTCACTTGAGCCCTCTAAATGGCAATTCATTGCAATCGGCTCCAAGGGAACAAAGAGAGAGGGAACCAGTGTGGATGCTCCTGGAATGTGGAGGACCCACTTCCCCATGGTCCTCTCGAGCAGTTGGTGACATGCAGTGGTCTGACATAAGCACCACAAGAGAGCACCAATGTATATAAAATAGTACATCAGCCTAATAAGTTTCTTTATTCAAATGCCTTTGCTTAATAGTTACAGTTCAAACTATATATCTTACCAATGGGAAATACACATTACAGTTGACCTTTGAACAATGTGGGAGTAAGGGGTGCTGACCTCCAGTCAAAAATCTGCATGTAACTGTTGACTCCCCCAAAACAATTTCTAATAGCCTACTGTTGACCAGAAGCCTTACCAATTGTATAAACAGTCGATTAACTCATATTTTGTGTGTCGTATGCATTGTGTACTGTACTCCTACAATAAAGCTAGAGAAAAGAAAATATTAAGAATATCATAAGGAAAAGACAATACATTTATAGTACCGTCCTGTATTTATTGAAAAAAATCCACCTATAAGTGGACCCATGCAATTCAAACCCATGTTTTTAAAGGTCAATCTTCCAAATATCCAGAGAAGATGTTAAAAATTGTTCATATGTTACAGAATTAAGCTTAATATGTTTCTAAGTTATGAACATTGCATGGCTCACAGTTTAATAACATTAACAATGAACATAACATTCAAAACAATTCAATTATTTTTTAAAATTATTTTCAACATTACCCTTAAATCAAAGAGGAAATCAAAACTGTAACAAAATAATTTGGAAAGTATTCTAAATTTTAACATTGAGAGTAAATTATTTTAAAATTTTATTTTTAAAAATTTATAAATGTGGTAAAATACACATAACATAAAATTTACCATCTTAATTATTTTTATGTGTATGGTAAATAGTGCTGAATACCTTCACAATTCTGTGCAATCAAGCTCCAGAATTCTTTCCATCTTGCAGAATTGAAACTCTGTACCCATTAAACAACTCCCTACTTCTCCTACCCCGCCACCTACTTCTCCTTCCCCGCCATCAAATTTTTTAATTATTATTTTTTTAAATGTTTATTTACTATTGATAGAAACAGTGAGAGCTGGGCACAGGGCGAGGAGGTTGCAGAGAGAGAGGGAGACACAAAATCCGAGGCAGGCTCCAGGCTCTGAGCTATCAGCACAGAACCCAACATGGGGCTCAAACCCACAAACCATGAGATCATGACCTGAGCCAAAGTCGGACACTCAACCGACTGAGCCACCCAGGCGCCCCCTTTTTTAAAAATGTTTATGTATTTTTGATAGAGATAGGGGATCAGTTTTTAAATTAAAACTTAAAAATAAAAGTTTTAATATTTCCTCCCTACACCTATACCTATAAACATGTAAAGTTGGAGGCCACCAACTGCAGATAGCTGCTGGAATTCTTTATTTCTGAGTACAGTGGCCTCTGGGTGTCCATTGAGCCACTGGAGCAGGTCTGTGTGACAGGCTGACCCCAAAGTTATCTGTGAACCTGTCACCAGATTGGTTGATGTTACGGCCACACCTATACCCCTTGTGGCACAGGGTCCCTAGCAAGGAAAGGAGATCACTTGACTAGCAGCTGCAAACCCTCCTCCCTTTGGACAGCAAGCAAAAGATTTGAGGAAGTCAAAAATAGCTCCTTATAAGGATAATGTGAAAGCCTGTGGAGCTGGATTCTTCTGTGATGGGCTTGTGAGCTGGCCCCTGGGAATAATGACACTAGATATCATTTGCAGGCCCTTTATAAAACACATTATCATGTGTAGTAATCCTTCCAACATCTGCATAAACTATTACTTTCCCTTTACAGCTAAGGAAACTGAGGCTCATGATGTCCATGAGGGTGTTAACCCAGCGCAGTTATGAATGACCCCAGAGAAAATCAGCTGTCGGCACTGTGCGTCTGGGACCCAATGACTTTCTGTTTTTGTCCCTTTCTCTGGCCTCCCCACAAGTCAAGGGTGTAATACTAAGAAAAGAATGCTTCAGTTAGGGGTGGGTCAAGTAAACAGATGTCAGTTTCAGTTTGCCCTCAGGAATCCCAAGAACTAACAGGATTTTTTTCTTAAAAACCTTCTTACTATATAAACATTCATTAAATTATACTCTTAAGGTTTGAAGCCTCAAAAACTTAATTTAAAAAAAGAAAAACCAGTTTAACTCTGAGTCCCCCTCCCTAAAATTACTTTATTTTTTTTTATTTTTAAAGAAAAAATTTTTGTAACGTGTATTCATTTTTGAGAGAGACAGAGTGTGAGTGGGGGAGGGGCAGAGAGAGAGGGAGACACAGAATCCGAAGCAGGATCCAGGCTCTGAGCTGTCAACACAG